AAAAGAAAAAAAGAATTAATTTACATATAAGGGATGGAGTCATCCCTTTAAACCGTTTTTTAGCACCAACTGATAATTTCTAAATTCATCTATTTATGTGACCTCAAAGTGTACCAAGTTTCATTAAAATCAGAATTTGACACTTCGCGAGGTTCCCTTGTAAGTGCTATCGGATTTGGAATTGGATTACACTTAAGTGCAGCGAAATAATCGATTACACTCGACAGGAGTAGGCCACGATCTTCCCTAATGAAGAGAACCTGGGAGAAAACGCGCAACATTTTTATGCGCGACCGCGTTTACGCAGCACGGAGAAATCCGCAGGTGCATGCAGCTGCTCTCGAACGCGCGTAGTTAACTTCGCATAGCGCTTAACTGCTGCACGCGGCTAATCGCGCGCGAATGGGAATAAGAACGCCACTTTTCTTCTTCTATCAGAATAATCGAAGAGAACTACATATCCCCCGAAGTAAAAGGAAGAAAGTGCGAGACATTTCACGTCGACCGTGCAGTACAGCGAGATAAACCCGGCCGCCGACGAAAACTCGTCGGTCGAGATTGTCGCCGGATATTATCACGCGGGGCCATTAATGCCCTGTCGAATAATCTATTAATTATCCGATCGATGTGTTTCCACGCGCGCGTGGACGAGAGAGACGCTTAGAGTTACACGTTATTATCAACGCCGCGCTCCGTCGCGTCGCGTCGCGTCGTCGCGGGACGGGACCTCGAGTAGTAGGTATCGGGTAACAGTCGATAATCTGACCGTCGGTCTCCGCCGGATCTCTGCGTGGGTGCGCAACGGTGTACGGTGACACGTGGACATATATCGTTTCCGTTTTCTTCAACCGTTTCCCGCTCGCCGTGTACATAGAATCCATCCCGTCGTTCGTACCATTCTCGACCTACTCGCCTCGATCTCTCTACGACACGCGCGCGCGGCTCCCTTCTCGGTCGCGCTTCCTCTCACCATGCCAGGACGATCGATTCCGCGTTTTGTCTCGGAGGACATAGAGAGAGAGAGAGAGAGAGAAAGAGAGAGAAGATATATATATATATATGAGCAATACGAAGCAATCAACGTCGCCAGCCACGAAAACGAGCAATCGAACACCTACATTGCGACTGATAAACAAGTAGTCAATAACGTCCCGGTGACATCAACGGGAGGAAGTCGATGTGGGAGTTTCGACGGGCTGTACTGCACGCTTCTCCCTCGCGGATTCGTATGATTAATAATAATATCGAATATCGATATTGGGCACGAGAGAGAGAGAGAGAGAGAGAGAGGTAGCATTTAATTGTTAAGTACAAACGGATGTTAAATTATTAAATGCAAACAAAAGTACTTAATTACGAAAAGGAAATTAGGGAAATTCACCTGCTATTTTAACAAGAACGATATTCCAACTGCATGCTAGAAAAATAAAAATTTCTCAATTCATACTCAATTCAAATTAAATTTACGAATTTTGGTATTAAATTAGCGTCCCGCGACGTGAAAAATCCTTAAGTTTGAATAATATCATTCAAAATATTTGATGGACTCTTAATGACACATAGTCAATTTTGATTTACAAAAATTAATTTCAAACCTACAATTATCCGCAATAATGTTACTTTTTTCATATACATACTGGACTATCTCATATACGAATGTACGATCAAACTTCGGATGAATTAATAAACAGGAAGTGGTCGACGTAGAAATATCGACTTTCTGTATCGTTTTGCCATTAGATTCATGATTAATAATAATATCGCGTATTAATGTTGAATACAAGGTAAGATTTAATTATTAAATGCAAACGAAAGTATCTAATAAGTAATTAAAGGAATAAAATTTTAAAAATCTACTGCTACTTTAATAAACGATGTTTTGGCTACACGAGAAAAATAAAATTTCTCAATCTTTTTAATGTACGTCATAATGTTACTTCTTTTATATGTCAATGTCTATCGAAATACCTCATACGAGTGTAGACCAGATGTTTCGGATAAATTAATGAATTAGAAGAAGTTGTTATGGTTGATATCGACTTTCTATATCGTGTTTTGGATTAATAATATTGAATGTCAATGTTGAACACAAGGTACATTTAATTGTTAAATGTAAACAGAAATATTTAATTAAAGAATAAAATTAATTTATATAATAAATTACATTTTAATTAATAATTAAGATTTATTGTGCTTTTTTAATAAACGATATTACAGTTGGACCTTGATAATTCGAATTTTTACAACTCGAAAACCTCTGTAAAATGAAAATTGTATTCATTCCCTCTTCCGCTCCGAAAATCTATTGCGAAAAATCTCTATAAATCGAAATAAAACCTACCTTAACTTGAATTTAAAGTAGTTAGAACTCTACAAATCGAAGTTTACTTCTATAAGTCGGACTTCTATTGTCGCTGCCTCTATTCGAAGTTATAGCTGTAATCATGAGTAATAGTCTGGCATTTTATTTTATGATTACATTTATTATATGTATGCAATAAATAATTCACTGTCAAATATTGATTTTTTTTCTTCTACAAATCAATATAATCGGAAAATTATGAATTCTCGTACAAAGCCTCCGTAATTCGAATTTTCGTGTGTTAACCCCCTTTTACTCGAATTTCGATAAATCGAAAACTCTATAACCCAATGGGTTTTTTCTTCCCTTGAGATTTCGAGTTATCGAGGTTTGACCGTATAATCTATATTATATTCTGGTTACCTATGTACTAGGAAAATAAAATCCTCAATCTCAACAATTACGCACAGCAGTAATAACTACTTTCATATATCAATACCTACCACCTGAATACCTTGCGCAAACGACGCGATTAGATTTCGTGTGAATTAACGAAACGTTCGCAATTTCGTTGCAGACACCGAGAGATGACCGAACGACGTCGAGCCCGGGTGGTGCGCCCAGCAATCACACCTCGGCGCTGTCGCCATCGCCGGTGGGCGATGCGCCCTTAGGTAGAGCGTTGATGGAGGCCGCCCTGCAGCAGCAAGCCGCGACCGGTGTCCAGCCGCCCTTAGTCGTCACGCCGTCCGGGTATTGGATTGACGGCACCGATCATCGGCATACCCTCGATTCCGCCGGAAGGGCATTGCTGCCGGCACAGCCGGCCTGGCAACCCAGGATAGATCAGGACGACACGGCCAAGTGCTACCGCCGCTTCTTCGTCGGCAGGGTGAGTCTCATTTCTGTCAGCATTCTATAACTTAACATACTTGAAATACACGTGATCTTTTTAAAGTTCATCTACAATAGGTGTGATAAGTTGTAAAGCCAATTGTGTCCACGGTATACACTGAAAAAGTAATCTTGCAATTATAGCGAGAATTATTTAGGTACGAAAAATTAGCTAAAACGGATAAGCGATTAGTAAGCACTGCGATATCACATATGTTTTGTATTTAATCCATATAGATAACAGCACCCCCAAAAAAATGTTCTACTTATGAGCAGGAAATTCCTTTAAGCATTTCCTCTAAGCAAAAAAAATTTACATAAAGCATATTCCTCAGCTATCACGCGTATTTATTTATAAAGAAGTGGACATGTGACATATAGAACATAGACATGTGCTATAATCAAGAATAAATTCCTCTATAGAAAATTTCACTATAATAACTCGAATAGTCTCTTGAAATAAAAGGATATGCTTGATACTCGCGGTATGCTCATTTATAAGATTTTCTATTTTAAAAAAATTTTTTAATTTTTATTATTATATATTTATGTCCATATATGTTTCTTTCCTTTGTAAAATGATTCTTTAATACAAAATTAATTTTAATAAGAAGGAAACATAAAAAATAATTAAAAGAATAATTTTTACATAATTGGTTTCTTTTACAAAAAATAAAGTTTAAAAAAATGAGAAAAATTGCTCATATGTAATCATATATAAGCGATTAAAAATATACATATATAATTATATATTAACAATATTTCTTATTTCTTCAAACTTGATTTTTTGTAAAAAAATTCAATGTAACAATTATTTTTTTAATTATTTATGTTTCCTTTTTATTATTATCAA